CGGCGTGGCGCATGCACCGAATGGTTAGTGAGAGCAGCCTTGGCAAAAATGGTATCTCTCAACACGAAACCCCAAAATGTCTGCTTTCTTCTTTTTTTTTTTTGCGTGTGTAAGCGAGAACGAGTATAGATGGCTGCATTGACCTTATGCTGCAAAGTATTTTTTATTCCGAAATGTACGTACTGTTCATTAACTTGGTATTTCCTGGCGATGTATGGTTCTTGCAGTTATGGTTATTACAGTGGAGACTCCAGTTAATGTTTTCTTCTCTGTCTTCCGAGGTTTGCCAAAAAACGTTAACTTGACTTCAGTCTTTACATTAGTTAGACGTGAACTCCCAGATTTTGTAGCTTGTTTCGCGCAACCTGTTTGTACGCGCCAGGCTGATCCCCCTGCCAAAAATCCTCCACAGTTGGACCACAAAACTAGTGCATGTACAGTCGCCCAATTTTTTAATAATATCACGCGGGTCGTCACGGCGCTGCCCGCCGGGACGGGCAGTGCCGTGCCGCGGAAAAATGCAGCGTCACGAGAGAGATTAAGAGCGTGCGCACAAAGCCCTTTTCGGTGAGCGTCGTCTGCTAGGCTACTCCGTTGATCGCGCAGAGCCCCTGCTCCGAAGCAAAGGAGCGCGTTGCGCCGATTGACATCATTGTTTATCCAATTATCCAACGCTCACTTCTCTTTCTCCTTCTCTTACCTGTTGGTATACTTCATCTCACCCTAGCATGGACTAACCGCAAAGGCTGTGCTAGCGCGAGTGGCCAGCCTTGACTGCCTTGACTAGAGCAATTGTTGCACGAGCGCTCGTGTAGCCGCCGCGGCTTCATTCAAAGCGACTAGCTCGCGCTTTAAGCACGCGCGGCTAACAATAGTCCATACTAAGGGGAGACAAAGTATAGAGAAAATGTTCGACAAGCGCGCGCTAAGAGTGTGTCTCGTGGCCTTTCTGCTGGGGCACAACTGCACGTGAAAGCACGATGTCACGTGGCAGGGTGACAGCGCTCAATTGGTTTTGATGGATCGTAGCATTGGCCGGGGCATATAGTTTAATGCATCGTTGCATTCAGCTTGTCGCGTCATCGCGTTTTTTTTCTTGTTTTTTTGTTGTTTTTTTTTGTGCAGATAAAGTAAACGCAAACAAAAAAATAAAATAAAAAAAAACTAAATTAAACGAGATGACGCGCGGTTTCTTTCACGCCTGAGCAGTATCACAATATCACGCAAGCAAGCGCTCTTCAGATCTTTGCTTAAAGGCGGTCAGCTATGCCAGCAGATAAGGAACAGGGGCTGTGTGCGATCAATAGAATAGCCTAGCAGACGACGCTCGCACCGGAGAGAGCTTTGTGCGCACGCGCCTAATCTCTCCCGTGACGCCGCATTGCTCCTCGGCACAGCGCTGGCCGTCCCGGCGGACGACGCTCGCGTGATATTTATTAAAAAATTGGGCGACTGTACATCTTCCTGGCAAATTAAGCGTCGTCACCGAAGTTGCGTGCATGTGGGGCCTCCAGTGAAAATAGCCATTCTCTTGCTGAGTCGGGGATCTCGCGGCGCCACCCTCCTGCCACGGTTTCTCCCATAGGGTCGTCCCGATCAGCATAAACTGCTGGGTGTTCTTTGCGTGCGAAAAAGTAGTTGCGCAGAAAATAGCAGGACTTCACGACATAATTGATATTCTCTTGCAGAAGGTTGATGGTCCTTAGGAGCATTCGCCACCGGGCAGCCATGATCCTCAAGGCATTTTGAGCGCATCTCCTGTTTGACAAAAATTATTAAAGTGATTAGAGTACACACTAAAGGAATAAAAGGAATAGTGAAACACACTAACAGATGTTTTAGATATAAAAATTGCATGTATTTGCATGCAATTTATGAAACAGTCTTGGGACTAAAAGATGAGTATGAGGAAACTCGAGGGAAAATCGATTCACAAAACAAAATGATTGCAAGTTTTTTGGAGTTAATACAAAATCCTACGACACTTTCTTAAATATGTTGAGCACTTCACAAGAGGCAAGAAAAAATATATGGCAAAAATTTCCGTTGCGAGGCAAGTGCACATTTCTGTAGTCTCGAAATGTTAAACAAGTTCCTCGTCGTAGTAGACCACAACGCCGCTAGGGCGCTGTGACCCAAACTGGCACAGTTAGAGGAGGAAGTGGAAGTTTGCACTATAATGATCTCAACTGAGTTGAACACATCAGGTGCATGTTGAGCTCGAGGTCATGTGCGGCATCCAGCTCAGTGCAACTAAGCTCATTGAAATTGGAAATGCGTCAGTGTATGCTTTTTTCTGCATGGGCACAATCAGCAAAAGAGTGTTGTCAGAAGAGGAAACCGGGATGGGAGTGATTGTCGCTGAATGCATTTGTTCACGTTGACCGCGTGCATGTGGTCCCAAACAAAAGAATCTCCCCGATTGGCTGCTGGGGTTGCTGACATCATCGCCAAAGCAATAGCCCACTCAAGATGTTCAGGTCTTGCAATACGCCGAAAGACGTCACAATTCCTTTTTTTTACTCCTGTGCCTGCATCTGCAAATAAACTGGCGAAATCGAAACTAACTGGATTTTGGTCCCCCAAAATGGAAGTGTCGGTCACAGTAGGATTATTGTGAGGACTGTTTCCGTGATTTGTGCCTGATAGAAGTTCAATTTCGGTCAGAACATGGTCGACATGGCATGGAAAACTACTAACACATATTCCAATTTTAAATAGAGCATGCAAATTGTCTTCAGCGTCTTTTAAGGCTGTGTTCATGAACTCGGATTTCTCCAACCTAGCCAAGTTCTCGTAGTGAAAAACGATTTTCATTCATCTTGACTACAACTTCTTATCTGTAGCATTTAACGAAACGTGCAGTGCACCACAATTTTCTCTCTGGTGGTTTGATTGTGTGGCATGAACCTACCGAGCTCGGCTGAGTCTGTAGTCAGGGCCTTTTCTCATCAACAAGACCTTTCGCCGGATATGGGCGGAGAAAGTCAGTGCGAAGCTGAAAGGCCTCGTCGCCCACAATCGCGTAAAGTGCGAAGCGTGGTTTCTGACACCCCGGGAGCACTCCAAGCTTCGGCAGGTTGAATGTGCCTAGATCCAGGCCCTGAACAATTTCGGAAGTCTTGAAAATGCCACCATCACTTCGTCGTTCCTCTGCACCGACGTCAGTAAGCACAAACTTGTAGTTGCTGTCTACCGCAGCCATCAGGACTATAGAGCAGGTGCCCTGAAGCCACAATAGAACAACTTGGTTCATCAATGCCCTGATTGTAGGGACATTACCGAGTTTTATAATCTCAGTTTGATACATCTTCAGACTAGACAAGCCTTTTTAGACTGCCCTCTCTTTTACTAAACTTAATGCGATACTCTACCAGCTATGAGCTTCCCACAAAAAAAAAATTTGATGACTCGATTTTAGGTGAAATTTTACTGTGCAGAGAAGCTATGCTTCCATGCACAGGAAAATAGAGCCAGACTTTTTGAAGAGCGTTTAAAATAACTGTGACTCCAATTGTCAGCCACAGTTCTTGGCAAATGTCACCGTGTAAATTGGTAGCCTCCTGATGGCGAAAGAAGACTCACGAGATTATTGGGCACGTAGAAAAAAGTGTACATCAGACAGAGTGGAAGTCGATGTTCGAGCCAGGCCCATATCCAAGGGCGAGTCCCAGCGTTCTCGGAACCAACCACAAAATCCTCGAACTTTGATGGCACCTCCTCCCCCTCACCTAGGCCATATCCCCCCCCCCCAAAAAAAAAAAAAAATCACCTGGCTATGTGTTTGGTTGGGTCACAGTCGGGTCACAGAAAAACATAATGTGTCGCAATTGAACGTTGAGTTTAGGCAACATGACACAGTGGTAAATGCCAAAAACTCTTCCACAAAAGTCGGTTGAGAGATATGGTCGTGGAACGCATGTAAACGTGTGAAACCTTACTGTCTCGGGCAAACGTCCCAGGGTTAAGTCTTGCACAATGAGTACAGTCAATGTGATCTTAAAGGGAAGCTACGGAGGTTCTTGAAAAAAAAAAGAGTTAGAAGTGAATTCTAGTGTATTTTTACCCCGTGAACCCGAATACCCAAAGCATTTGCTGCGCAACTATTGCTGAACGGGAGAAAACGCGAAAGGCGGTCTCTGTACGTGACGTCATCATCGAATCTTTTGGCTGCCCAAGGCTAGGGAGGCGGCGCTTCAGCCCTATCTTGAAATTACTCTTATGGCTCTCCGGCGCGTCGCATTGAAGCATAATTGTGATATCTGTTATTCTAAAGGCCAAATGAGCGCAATTCAAGTGTTTTTTCTCGAATGCAGAAGTGCCCCATCTTCCCTTTCACCTGACACTGCGGAAGGAATAGAGAAACTTTGAAGCAGAATAATACGACACAAGCAAGAGGGTAACGTCTCAGCATCAACTAGTTCTGAATTTCTTCGCACAACACAATTTCCAGGCTCACTAAATTCTGCCCTCGGAGAAATTAAGAGACAATATACAGCAAGTCCCCCTTTGGTTCATTACTATGCGAAAAACTATTTCTTTTTCGTGACCTTTAGAGGAAAACTTTAAACTTAACGTTGATCTTGTTTGGTTCACTGCCTCGCCTGGGAATTTATACCATCCTTTAGGTGACTGACGATAGTTTTACTTATCTTTCCAACGTTACCCACCCCTTCAAGGAAGAGTGAGTTGAGAGGTTCCACCGATTTCTTCTCGAAAGCTGATGTCTGAACGTTAACCTTCTTCAAAAAGGACACTGAGCCGTAACCCTTCTGTGAATTTTTTTCTACTTCATAGTTTGTCGTTTTCTTACCACAGTCTCCAATTTGTACACCATGATTTATATAGACATCTTGTTTATGTGATGCACGCCTTGTAATTGTAGAATACCCTACCAGATTCCTTTATTGCAGTTGATGGCAACGTGCTGGCCATGGACAGCTCCTAGACAGTTGGGAAACTGCCACCTCCGCTTGAACTCTTCTGCGGTCTCCACCCACTCAGCCTCTGTAGGAGGCTGTAAAAAAAAAAGAAGCCATTAGTGAAACCTAACATGCCTTATGAAGTGTGACAAGTGGCCATACAGAAATGTGAAGGCTCCAGCCAAGATCAAAAAGAGCGATTGTTGGCATATTAAAAACAAGTGAAATAGAGAAGCAGGTTGGAAGAGGCTACTTGATAAAGAAAAAGCATGCGTCATATAATGAAGGTCGCCACATTTTAAACAAGGCGAAAAGAAGTTACAAGGACAAACTCAAGTTGCAAAACATTTTTGTTAACGTGTTTGGCATAATGGAGCACCGCGAATTTTACAGCGACAGAGGAAGGAACTGGACAGGACGAGCGCTGTTCTGCTGATCGAAGTATTTGGCACTTCGATCAGCACTTCATTTTACCTTAGAATGTAGCAACTCCCATATCTATTCTTAGGAAAGTATTCTTGCTGAAGTTAAATGCTTATATTCTGGGGGAAAGTAAGTACCTACAAAGATCTCTCATCCTGTTGATGTGCATTTAGTTCCTTTCTGTCGCATGCAGACAGGGCTTAAAGCCGTCCCTACAGTCTGGGGGGTCTCTCCTACTTCGAGCATCGGTAGAGGTCCCCGGAAAAAGAAGGGAGGGGGGGCTCTATTTTTGCTACTTCTACAGCTACTTTTTATGGCTATGTGTTCTTGCAATTTATCCAGGACTTGTCATCTATGTTCTCCAAGCACAGGACTAAGACACAGGGACCTCGGGCCAAAATTTAAGGGGGAGGTCCCGGACCCCTTCAGACCCCCCCCCCCCCCCCCCCCCCGACTTTAAGCACTGATGCAGATTTGACGTGCTAAGCTTTTTTCCCGAGGTTCTTGTCGGATCTCTCGCCAAGTACCCTTTCCAACTAAGTAATTGTGATGAAAATAATGCATGAATTGCAGCTTGCTCTAGGTTTTGTTTTTGTTCGTGTTAGCATGGTTGCAATCTGTAGTAGAGATTTGTTAGTTTTCTTTGTAGGTAGGTACACTCCCTTGCTTCCATTTTCATTAATGATAGTTTTTAATACCACTGATCTCTACAATCTTTTTATCAATAAAGTTACGTCGCTGACTTAGTTCGTATTAAGCATAACCATGTTTTAATTTTTTAATTAAAAACAAAAATGTGAAACATGTCACAGTGAGTTAGGAGAACATACCTTCATGAATAGTTGGTGCAGCCTCTCCCACAAGACCCGGCACGTGACGTGGACTGCCTGTCGCGCTGTTTCCAGCCCAACCCTGTATAGCAGGGCGACGTCCTTGATCTGTTGGCCAGGTTATAGGTAGCTGCAATAGAACAGAACGACATACAGAATGCAACCTTTGCTCACTTCATCGATGCACCTTACTACACACGACCAGTCTACTACACACGACCAGCCATCACCCTAGGCAGGAATATCTGACCCAAATATAAACAACAGAGGCAGCTTTTTAGAATATGATACCTCAGTGCAATCGCAAGGTGTTCTTCCGATGGAAGCGGCTCAAGGATGAAAAACTGTCGTGTCCTCCTTCACCATGTAGTGCAGTTCATCAAAGGTAGGAGGCGTCACCATCATCATCATCATTTATTATTTTTTTGAAGGCCCAGGGGGCATTATACAAGGGAGTGAACACTTTAAAAAAAACAAGTAACAAAACTAGTTATCTACAAAAACGCGCTGTAATGTAGTTATGGGTTAGAAAAAATAAGGTAATGGCTGCAGAAAATTTCTTAGTATCAGATAAGGAAACAATTACGTCAGGCAGTGAGTTCCAGTCGTCAATGGCCAATGGTAAAGAACACATTTGGTGAGTGACGGTTGACGATGAAATCGGACGGAGTCTACAAGAATGGTCGAGACGAGGGAAAATGCGGTAAGGAGGTGATAACAAACTTTGACTGAAATGACTGTTGTAATAAAAGATCCGATGAAGAAGAGAAAGACGAGACACCCTGTGGCGGTGAGAAAGAGTGTCAAGGTTAGCTGATTAGCGAAGTCCTGATATGTTTGCGTAAGGGGAATAGTCGGAATAAATAAAATGGAGGGCCCTGCTATGAACGGATTCCAGGTCGTCAGTTAGGTATGCCTGCCACGGTGACCATATGGAAGAAGCGAATTCTAGTTTAGTTCTGACCAAGGTAGTATAAGCTAGTTGTTTTACGGGGGATGTAGCTTGTCTGAGGTTACGGCGAAGAAATCCGAGAGTGCGGTTAGCATCGGCGATGACAGTTGTTATATGAGTGGTCCATGACAGGTCAGATGTCAGATGAATTCCTAGATATTTATACGATGAGCAAGCAGTTACTGGGATGCCAGAAAGGTGGTAAGAGGAGGATAGAACATGGTGAACTGTGGGAAAAAGATAGCGATTTACATTTATTCTAGTTTAAAGCCAATTGCCATTTATGACACCACTGAATTATAAGTTGGAGATCGCTTTGCAACGTTAGCTGATCGTGGCGTGAATGAATGGGTCTATATATGACACAGTCATCGGCGAACAAACGTACTTCACGAGTGATGCCATGGTGGAGATCATTAATGTAGATTAAAAAAAGAAGGAGGCCAAGAACACTTCCGTGAGGGACGCCAGACGTTACTGTGCTTGTGGTAGATTTTATATTGTTAATAGAAGTGTACTGTGTGCGATTAGTAAGGAATTCCGAAATCCAATTGACTACTGAGGGGTGAAGATTAATATTTCTTAGTTTCATTAGAAGACGTTGATGAGGGACCCTGGTAAATGCTTTGGAGAAGTCAATGAAGATGGCGTCAGTTTGAACATTGGAATCGAAATTTGAGTAAACGTCAGTTAGAAATGCTGTTAGCCGAGTTTCGCATGAGTAGGACTTGCGAAATCCGTGCTGGTGCTTGAAAAGGAGGCTATGAGAGTCTAGAAAGTTTATTATGTTAGAATAGAAAATGTGCTCCAAGAGTTTGCATGAAACGCTGGTGAGCGAGAAGGGACGATAGTTGCTGATTTGTTGGCGATCGCCTGTTTTATGAACGGGTATGACGTTAGCAACTTTCCAATCTGATGGTACTTCAGAGAGTTTAAGAGATTGAGAGAATATGTTGCAGAGGAAAGTGGAAGAAATGTGTTTAGTGTTTATTAATACCTTAGAGTTAATTTGGTCATCTCCGGAGCTGGAGGACACCTTTAGTTGATCTATAGCCTTAAGTATCCCAGTACGGTCAATTACGATAGGATCCATGAGAGGGTGAGTGGATTGGCACGAGTCGGGAATATTTAGTAAGTCCTCCTTAGTAAAGATGGAGCAGAAGAAATTGGTAATAGCAAGAGCGCCGTGTTTATCAGAAAGCGGAAGTCCGTCGTCATCTACAAATTGCAAAGGAAGTGAAAGTGCCGGATTGATTATTTTCCAAAACTTCTTTGGTTTCGTGGTTAGTATGTTGGGGAGGTCAATACTATAGAATTTGGTTTCGGCGTGATTTATTGTTGATTTATAAGCCCTAGCGCATTCGTAGTAGGCGTTCCAAGAAGCCGTAGTGTTGACAGCCTTAGTCCACCTATAATCTTTTTTTCCTATTGGATTGACTATGAATTGTTTTATTGTACCAAGGGTTAGTGTTATCAGATACAATACGGGTCAGTGGAATAAAGCGTTCGATTAGGTAGTGTTATGTATCCCAGGCAAGGACTCAAGCTCGGCGTAGACAAGCGTCCGGACGTTGCTTTAATGGCGCCTAGAATGCCCGTCTCGAGGCCCAGAAACCCGTGCACCGGTCCCGTGCTCTTGAAAGCGCGGGAGTCCGCTCACGCCCTGTCCTGGCCACCGGCCGGTACATTACACTTCCCCCTCACTTAGTTGCGACTCCTAATCTTTCCGGTGGTCTTCGCACACGGTTGCTGGTGCGTTGGTGTGTTTCACTACGCGCGGGCTCCGGCCTCGGGGGCGTACGTGATGTCTCTAGCTTTGGAGGTGCGGATGACGGCTCGTCGGGCTCCAGGGTCAAGTCCCACACTGGAGCGGGTGTACTGCTGTTTCTGTACTGCGAGGTGCAATTCCTTGGACGAATATGATCCATGTGCCGTCTTTCCTGGCCCTCGTCGGTGTCGATCATCCACGACCGGGGACCTAGACGGCGTGTAATAACGCCAGCTGTCCAAGTCCTTCCGCTTGGGAAGTTCCTGATCCACACGGCCTGACCAACCGAAAAGTCCTGCGAGTGTGTCGAATCTGAGGTTATCAACCTGGTTGGAGGGTCATAAGTAGGCCGCTGCAGCAGTCTCTGTAGCGGTGATGGCAACTCTCGACCAAGAAACATCCACGCCGGCGTCTTGCCCGTTGCAGTGTGTACCGTGGTATGCTGCTTGTATAAAAACCGTGCCAGTGTACGTTTCACCGTGTCTTTTTCTCCCTTCGCCAGAGCCTTCTTTAATTGCTGTACCATTCTTTCGGCTTGGCCGTTCGTTGCCGGGTGATAAGGTGCGCTTGTTACCCTTGTGATTCCATTGGAGTGGTAAAAGCTTTTTATCTCTTGCGATATAAAAGCGGTTCCGTTATCCGACATTACTTTACGTGGTATGCCGAACGTTGCAAAAATGTTCCGTAATTCACAAATCACAGTTGATGACGTCATGTTTCGAACTGCGCGAACCTCTAACCATTTAGAGTATGCATCTACCACGACAAGATAGACTTGTCCATCTACAGGCCCTGCAAAATCCAAATGGATGGTGTCCCAAGGTACTGTAGGTCTGTCCCAGGTGGGACTGGTGGCTTTTGGTGGTGCTTTCTGGTGTAGCTGGCACTTCTCACATTGAGCTACACATAATTCGATCTCTTTGTCTATACCGGGCCACCACACGTAGCTTCGGGCGTAGGCCTTCATGGCTACGATGCCTCGGTGTCCTGCATGTAGAAGTCTCATAGCCTCGGGTCTCATTGACGCTGGGATTACCACGCGCGCACCCCAGGTGAGACAACCACGATGGATGGACAACTCAGTTGCCTTGAGCTTGAACGCGTTGAACCGATCGCCCACCAGTTTCTTTACCTCTCCATTCTTGACTGCTCTAAAGACCTCAGCCAGAGTGGGATCAATTGCCGTTTCGTCTTCCAGTTCTTTTGCAGTCATGGGAGGCTTCGTCAGTGCCTCCAACATCAGGACATCGCCGGGGGGATCCCGTTCTTTCCCAGAAGTTAACTGAGAAAGTATGATAAAAATCTTCGGGGTTCGAGTTGATTAATGCGTAACCAGCTCTCGCGCAATGGCGAATGAGTTTGCAGTAATGTGATCTACGAGTTAAATTGACGACGAGATGGTCACTAATGCCGGGTAAGTATGTGATATTACTGAAAAGTGAGGGGTTTTGGCTTAAGCATAAGTCGAGCATATTGCTACAGTGATTAGTAATTCTAGTAGGCTGAGTGATAACATTTCAAAAGTTGAAATCTAAACAAAAGTCTATAAATTCTTGAGACAATGCGCAACTAGAAGAGAGGGCAGACCAGTCAATGTTCGAGTAATTGAAATCACCAAAGAGAGTAACAAAGGCATTAGGGTATTTAGTTGTGATTTCAGAAAGACACTTATATAGCTTGTTAACAAACTCTTTATCACTATCTGGCGGTCTATGGCACACAGCCACTATTACGGGGGGCGTCGTAGCGACGTACACACATACAACTTCCAAGTCGGTAAGAATCGGTATAACCCGGGAGGTAATTTGATTTTTTATACCTAAAAGCACACCTCCCCCCTCCTAGCGGATCTATTATACCTATACACACGAAAGTTTGGACACAAAGGAAAAATTTCAGCATCGGATATATCGGGGCTTAGCAGTCTTGGGTAGTAACGCGTTACTAGTAACGCGTTACTGTAACTTCGTTACTTTTTTTGGTAACTTGTAACTGTAACGAGTTACTTTTTAAAAATGTAACTTGTAACTGTAGTTCTATTACTTTTCATGAGGTAACGATGAAAGTAACGACGTTACTTTTGTCGTTACTTTGCAGTTTTTTTTTAGATAATATATCACTGAACGAGTACAATTTAGCCATTTTTGGCGCTTTTCAAATTGTCTCTTCCGACATTTCGAGTGTCAAGTTATTTTTTGCACAAACGTTCTTTCTCGCCAGTCACGACCCGAATATAGCCACGTCTAGATTTGGTGAAAAAAAAATGTAGTTATCTTTAGCACGCGCTTGTACTTTGTGACTGAACACTTGCATCTTAGTATCTTGAAGAACTATCTCTTTTGCGGTTTTCCTTTTTTCTCCGCAGACGCTTTTTAATCGGGTGAATCAAAGGTGAAACAACATTACATTTGGAGGGCACTGCGTATGTTTAGTATTTTGATTAGCGCCACTACTCCGCACTGCGCATGTTTCGTACATTGATTTGCGCCACTACTCCGGTGTAGTATCAACAGTCGAGGCAAAATTTACTGCTGTTTGCGCGGGGTTTGTTTCTGGCTTGCCGGGTACGAACTGAATAATGTTCAGGAACTCTATGAACCCAGGGCAACCGTTAACGAGCCAGCAATGTGCTAGTGCTACCAAGGATATGAATGTTCATAAGAACAAAGAACTACCATGGCCGGCCTACAGAGAGTATTTTGCTGTGGTGGAGCTGGTTAGTAACAACCTGACCGCAGAAAATGACACTCTGTTGCCTCAACGCCTACCCGACAATCAAAAACCAGTTCCGGCCACACGACACAGCAATCCCATCCAGCGTGTTAGACGAGCGCCTGTTCAACAAGGGCAGGGACCTGTTCGTTATCAAACGAGGGAAACTTTCAGAGACTAATTTTGAGAAGCAAGTGCTGCTGAGTTACAATATGAATTAGAAAGCACACATTTTAATTTTATGCAAATAAACTTATTGAAACTCGTTTTTCTACTTTTTTCTATTTTTTGTGTTATAAAAAGTAACTGAAAAGTAACGTCGTTACTTTTTAAAAGTAACTGTAACTGTAACGAGTTACTTTTTTGTTGCGGTAACTGTAACGGTAACTTCGTTACATATTTCTGAAAGTAACTGTAACTGTAACGAATTACTTTTTAAAAGTAACTTACCCAAGACTGGGGCTTAGCCACGTCTCGGTAAGCACAAGGAAATCTGCGTAGCATGCCTCAACCAAGGAAATCACATCATCTCTTTTTGGTATCAAGCTTCTAATGTTAGTAAATAAAATAGAATAAGAAGGTTTGTTACAGATATCACGGCGTTTTGCAGGTTGATTGGGTGACGAAAAACGAAATGAACGCTGGCATGCTCTGCACTTTTTTCCTTCACGGCACCAAGAGCGGTGTCATATACATAACACTTGTTATCTGAAAACAGCTTATCGTGACGCGGCTTGTAAGTCGTGCCTTTAGGCTTGGCAAAATCAAGAAGGTGACGGCGTGCAAGTCGGAAAGAAATGAGAAAATCTTCACTGATGGCTACAACTGTCCTTTTGAGCTTAAATGCCGACAAAAGAATACCTTCTTTATCCTTAAATGATGAAAACTTCGCAATTATAGGGCGACATTTTTGTGGATTGAACGCTCCCAAGCGGTGCGCTCTTTCAATTTTGCTCGATTCGATATTCACGCCTATGTTTCTGGAACACAGGCCGGTTATCAAATCCTCGGACTGGGCCCACGTTTCTTTATCGGTGTCAGTGACGCCAAAAAATAGAAGGTTGTTACGACGGGATCTGCCCTCCGGGTCGTCACAACGAGTTTTCAGCTGCGAAAGTTCGTTTAGAGCTGTAGTAAGCTGAGGTTTGGTAGGTGTTACGCTACCGATTTGCTTCTGCTTTAGTAAGTCGAGTTCAGATGTTAGGTTGTTAACGCGTTCTTCTAGAGCGGAAGGAGATTTTTTGCTTTCTATATTTTTCTGTGTTAGTAGGTTTACCTGTTGTTGCAGAAGAGCAAGGCTACTCTGAAGTTTCGCGACCGTCTGCACAAGCGCAAGGATTTCATCCTCTTGTTGCTTGCTCATAGGGCCTGCGTTCTTCTCTACATCCCCAGACAACAAAAGCAACAAAGCTCTAAAAGATTCAATACACGCTCTAAAAGATTCAATACAAGCTCCGGGGCATGGAAGCACAACTAGGCAAACATAAGTCGACATAAAACAGGGACAAGGTTTACGACTACTAACCTGCGGCAAGACAAAAAACATGAGCCACCTCATCGCTGCAAAGCTTCCATGCCCACTGGCGCGCTGTAGCCGGGGGGGGGGGGGGGGGGGGTCCCTTTGTAGGCGCTTCCGTTGATGTCGCTCTGGATGGCATAGCACGGGCGAGGTCCTCTGTGATCTTGATCCCTCATGCTGTAAAACCTCACAAAGAAGTCGACGTTGACGTCTCTCATACGTTTCAACTGAAGTGAAGAAATCACCAAGTTATACGCATGCGAATGCACATAAGTCACGTGAGAAGAGCTTACCACAATAGGGCAAAGTCCTTCTCTTCGCTTCTCGAAGATTAGGCGAACCCACCATTTACGCTCTACTCGTGCTCTTTTTTTTAACTAGCAGCTGCAAGAGCACAAGCCTCTTGCGCATAGGAGCAGGTCCAGCTCGCGTTCCATTTTGTCTTTTTAACAGAGCTCTGTTAGAAGTACAATATTATTCTAAACGACAAAGGTACAAAATTAATGCTATCAGCAACAATTACAGTGGTGGTGACCAGTTGTAAATGTTTTGGAGTGGGAGATAGTGAGATCGATGGAACACCGAAAGGTTAATGAGACGCACTAAAAAGGATGAAAATGAGTAAAACTGAGCTTCACTGCAATTGTTGCAATAAAAATGCGTGGTTATTATTGATAAAATTAAACGTCACTGCATGTAGCCATCATTTAACGCGCGATTTCTTTTTAAAAATTGCTCTTGTTTCTTAAGCGCCTCTCGCTATGCTGGGAAGACAGACGCTTCGGACGCGCAGACGCGAAGCGCCGCCCGGTAGCCCTGCGTGCGGTTTGACTGGGCGTACGAGTCTGGCTTGGCACGGGCGCCGAACCGAGACGCGCGTCTATACGTCCGTAAAAAATGCGCCATGTGGACTACGCTTTACAGAGATTTGTAAACGCCTTTCACTTTGTAATTGTTTATTGTTTAAGCTGTTTCAAAACAGAGCTAACGCTGTAGAGCGGGCTAGTAGAAAGTAGAATATCACTGATCATAACGATCAGAGAGCTCCGCGAGAGCGCCTTGGGCAGCTTTTCAACCTGCGACAAATTATAGGTAAGATTTTTTTTATCGATTACATTTGTATCAACACTTTTTATGGAAATATGGAACTTTTAGTATTGAGCTAAGAGGGTTTGGTTGATACATGATAACAGAATTTTTTAAAATCTATTTTCCAAGAAAATTTGAATGCTGATAACAGATCATTCTTTTAATGAGCTGGTGCAATTCTTTTTTTAAATAAATATTAAAAATATTTAAATAAATATTAAAATATGCAAGTTGATAACAGATCATTCTTCTAATGAGCTGGTGCTATTCAGTTTTGAAATAAGTATTAAAAATCTTGAGGCAATAAACATTTTGCTATCTTTCACAGTGTTTTCACTACAATGGTTAAATACCACCAAGACCTAAGAACGAACATTTAACCTTTCTTCGAATCTTTATTAGTTTAGAAGTATATTTGCCCTTTGCTGCATGCAGGCAGATACCAAAGTTCCTTGCACAAAAGACGCGGCATTCACACCAAAAGAAAATTTGGTGCATGTATGTGTTGCCCAAGAGGAGCATAGATATACCTTCACGACAAAATGGGACATTTTGCAGAACTGGATTTACATGACCTGTCCAATGAAACAGCGTGTCCTCTAAAAACATTTAGTGTTTTTGTTTTGTTTTTTTTCACTGCAAAAATGAACTTAAACTATGTATTGCCAAACGCTCAGTTTCCGCTCAAATGTAGCGCAATCAGTCCGGACAAGATGCCAATTTGTTTCAGAAGTTCTCGTCCTATTCGAAAGTTGCATGATTTTTAGAAAGTTTGGTGGGAACGTAAGGCCGGTTCTTGTAAACACATACCATTTATTTCCTTGTATTTTGGGGCAGATCTGACATTTCGTCATTTTGTCCAGACTAGTTGCGCTAAATTTGGATGTAAACTGAGCGTCCAGCAACGCATAGCTTATTTTTGCAGTAAAAAAGGCACAGCATCTTGGGGGCGGGGGGGGGGGCATTTTGTACAAAATGGTGAGTGTGAAGTCAGATTTAAAAATGAAACATATACTGACATCGTTTCCAACAAAACAGCTGACATGATGACACACTTCCCGTAGCTAGCAGCAAACAGCACTTGTAAAATAATAATGGTGTACGGAAAACATATGCACGCTAACCTTGTTGCCGCAAAATATCCCCTACTAAGGAAATATAGTATATTTCTGTAATTTAGTGATCTGGAACATCTTGTGGAAACGTGGTCAACAGCAGTGATGTATTTTGTACTCAAACTTTTTTTTAATAGTGTTTCTTTAGAATTGTGAATGCGAAAAGTCATCTCGATGTCCGTTGAAAAAAGTATTTGGATTCCCTAAGAGAAAAGAAACCTTTTGCTTCGAAGATGTGTGGTCACGTTTTAAATTAAAAAAATAGCATTATTATCATTTTTTTTTAGTTTTTTTTTTTGCGTTTTAGATTGTGTTAGTGTCATAACAAGCATATCGCAAACTCTTCTTTCGTGCTTCCTTAAAGCTCGCTGCGCTGTAGCCGCTGCCGATCGATTGCTAAAGCACTAATAGGTGCAGATAGTGTGCGGTGGCAGCGCACTACTGGAACTAGTTATCCCAACATTGTTAACAATAACTAACTTTATAGATAATGGCGGCAAACTGATACTTTCACTCAGCTATTGGTGTACCTCTATATTATTAGAAGGTTAGTAAAAAGTTAGTAACTGCAGAAGTTACTATACTTTATGAAAGCTACTACCTCTTTACTAGCTATTTACTACTCGCTCGACAGTTCGTAGAAAGTTAGTAACTGCAGCAGTTACTATCTCTTCCTGACCATTACTCCCGTTCTACTTGTGTTTTACTACCTCAAACCCACGACAGGTATTAACTGCGACTGTTATTAGCTGAAAAGGTTCAGCTAGCAACAGCTGCAGTTACTAGCTGGAAGGGTTCAGCTATAGTCCGTTGGAACTCAAGAAGTTAGGGCGAAGGTAAGACGGGCCGGGGAGGAGAAAGCAGACGGAACGCTGGAGAAGAGAGGGGGAAACCTCCTTCGCTCTTTAGCGTTCCGTCTGCTTCCTCCTCTCCGGCTTGTCTCACCATCGCCCTACCTTCATGAGTTGCAACGGACTATTAGCCCCGAGAGCGATCACAAGCGTCGCTGCGGTCGCCGCGCCCTGATTGGGTGAGGTGTACTGTGACGTCAGGGGAAGGACTCCGCTCCGCGGTCTCGCATCCGGCTTGCTTCCGTGCCCCGGTTTCCTGGTTTGGCGTTTTGTTTCCTCAAGCACTTCGAGGAGTGAAAACTTGTTTACCCGGCGTAGAAGACGTTGGGTCATGCCGATATTGACGTGCTTCCGTACATTTTATAAGCCTGCTTGTCACTTTTACCTTTATAATTGGGTTACAAATCCCGAAAGCTATCGGCAGAGGCAATTGTGCCGACGCTAGAATTCTGTTCCTTGCATGTTCATGATTTCGGAGAATATTACATGTAACACCTTTTGGCGGGCTAGTTGGTTCATGATTTTAGAAATAAATGAACTGCGTAAAGGACGAGGACAGAGGTAGAAACGAGTACGACACACGGAGCGCAGACTTCCAACTGTTTATAAACAGTGGGAAGTCTGCGCTCCGTGTGTCGTACTCGTTTCTACCTCTGTCCTCGTCCTTTACGCAGTTCATTTATTTCCAAAAAAAAGAATATTACATCCCGCTTTGCAGGCATTTGAAATGGCATTTATATCAAGGGCCTTTGGGCGGTCGGCAAATTAGCTCCCGACCCCGACTCTGCCCGTGCCACTCTGCATGCGCGCTGGTTCGCAGATGTTTTAAAGGCCCTGGGTCTGAAAGGGTTTTGAAGTGCTCGTGGAACAGGGTTGTTTTACATAAATGTACCTTCTTCGTGAATTAATGATATAGTTCATACAGGTATGCAGGCACGTTTTATTTTTTTAGAAGATGCACAATTACTGGAAATTAGTTTGTAGGGCAGCAGGGAAAACGGTCGAATTGCTCCCAGTTGTCTGTATGAGATGTATTGAACCGCCCAAAATATGCACACAATAGTACTGTAATTTGGAATGTTTATACTTTTTCCTGGCATTCTTCCTTTATTCCAGCCTTGAGTATTCGAAAAATACGCCGTTTAGTTTGAATTGCCATTTCCAATGAAAAGAGACACTGCTGCGGGTCCCTAAGAGCTTCCTCAGCCTCCAAACTCCCTACAGTTGGACTTTCCGACAACAGGGGAAAACAGCAGGAAGAGCAAGCATTCAAACGGCTGTCCAGTGGTAGATGCTGCACTAGTAGCAGAAAATGTGGCACCTGTGAAGGGTGACAGTTTCCATGATTAAAGCTTTTGGTATTTAAGCTTCAGGGCAATTTTATTTAACTAAAATTTCAATTTCAGAGCCTAGGGGACTAATAACGGGATAGACACCTTCGCTTACGCTTTTTGTACATTACTTGAAGGATGATATAAACAAGCCCGCAAATACCACCCGCGGAGTTCACTGAAATTCTATCAGAATCTAGCAAGGTCAAATGCGAGCCAATTGTAAAAATAAGTGTTCCTTCTTTCTTTACTTCGCCCCTGAATTTGGACTGTGTGACTTGTGATTCTCTCTTCATGGCCCAGACTGTATTTAACATGTTTCTCGAGCAGTATGCAGCTTTTCTGCTTCGGCGATCTTGTTTAAAAACAGAAATACAAAAAAAATAGTATATATAACCTGCCAATTCATTCAGATCATCAGCAGCGTTTATTGTGTGAGACGTAAATGTATAGTGATGCTCCTGCAATTGTGGTCATATTTCTTTATTTTCATATACCAACTGCGTTTCAAGCGTTGCCTGCCTTGTCAACCATGCCTGAAATGTTGGTTGAAGTTTCGCCTGCAGCTACAGGCCGTACCTCAATAAAGCGACATATAAAAATTTACACTTCCTACGAAAAACACGCAAAAAAAGTAAATAGAAACGAGCGCGCCGACAGCTAATGTCGTCACA